CATTTCCGGATTTATGGACGTCTATGCAGCAAGATGGGGGATTTACAATCTATTCAAGAATCAGCCCCTTTGTGGGGTGGAAGCCAAGCAAAAGTAGACAGTCTGAACTATTTATCTTGCTGAAGTGCTCTGGGGTACATTGTAGATGTGCGATTCTGAGTAGGGAAAACTCTGCTTCACTGAGGTCAACCTCAGCCCTCTCTGGGAATCTCTTCCAACGTACAAAAACATGAAGTGCACAAAAATTGTTGTTTTTCACTTTCTGTAGCCAGAATTTCAGTTTGTGTAACCCCAAGATCGCAAGTTGGGAAAATCCCCAGGCTTGACTAACGAGGTTCAGCGACAAGGTCTTTAAACAGAGTTAACCAAAAAAGTCAGGCGTTTGTGCTTGGAATGAGGAAGTTCATTAGGAGCCAGACCTCACAGTAGCTGTTCAGGGATAAACTGCTGAGACGCTGCAGCGATTGGTTACTCACTGGTGACGACCTCTTTGATCATCTCAGCCGAGGTGTGGCAGCCAGTCACGATGTGCCTTGTCCACAGCGACAAGTCTTTGCTGGTCTCCGTCCGGAAGTGGTGCGTCTCGATGCCCAGCCGCGTTCCCGTGCGCGTGGCAAAAGACAGCTCCTGGCCTGATTTGGGGGAGCCCTTCTCTGGTCCTGAGTGGACCAGCCTGCCAAGGTGGGACATGCTCAGTAATGCTTGAGTAGGAGCTGATATCCTCAGACGCAAATGTGATTGCATCCTATATGATTGTATCCTATATTATTGTATTCTATATGATTGCTAGGGCACCTAACATGTTGCTATAAGGACTAAAAGTTCTGGAAACCCCCTCCCCCTCCTTATCACTAAGGCGACCACCATTGATGCCAGAGGCACAACAGTGCGCCTCCTACTGTTCTGTGAGCATGAATTACAGCAGTAATATCCTTGCAGAAAGCTGCCGGAACTAGAAAGGATCTTGGGCATGAGTCCGTACATTTACACTGTGCTCAGAGGGCACTGAGTAATGGGGGCGGCCTGCCCCACTTATGGATGTACATGACAGTAAAGTTCAAGGGCGGCAGAGACCAAGATTCATCAAACGGTGTGAATAATATGCCCCAGATGCCCCATCTCTCTGAGGCAGCACCTTACTAATTCTGTAACCATTAAACTATATCTTAAATTACATCTTACCCATGTAGTTTACTTCTGTATGAAGACTAGTCTAAGAGCACCATACTTCACCTAAGTGAAGTGAAACCATAGCCCTCCAGGGTGGGCTATAGCGTGTCGTGTGGCTGGCAGAGAGAAGGTAGGATGTAGCATGCCATGTGGCTAACAGAGGGTAGGTAGGATGTAGCATACCATGTGGCTAGCAGAGGGTATGTAGGATGTAGTAGGATGTAGCATACC